GGAATATAGTAGTAATGGAATAATCAAGACCTGATTGTCAGTGGATTTCCTTAACCTTACTGGTTGTGGGCTCAGGAGCTTTGTATCCACTGCACAAAGAGGAAAAAGCAGCAAGTGGCAACAGTTCCAGACTTGCCCAGGGTTCTTTGCTGGGTGAGCAGAGACCTGTTCCTGAAATGGACAGAGAAAAGTTTTGAAGTGTCTTTGTCTTTTTTATTTTAAGGGGAGAACACTGAGGTTTCTGACAGTAATAGCTGTAGCTAATAATAGGAAGAAATTACTCAGCATTGTGTTGTTACCCTACTGCTGTCTTAATTGCTGTATCAGTAGGCTTAATCACAAAGATGCTCCTGATAGAGAAGTGACTGTGGGCTTTCATACCACACTCAGAGATTCTGAAATAATATAAAGTCAGAAAAATAAGCACAGCAATGTGCAGCCTTGCCAATCCAAGAGTTCTTACCATTTCTGGAAAGGCAAAGGCATGGGGCAATTTCCAGCCTGAAATAAATTCTTTTTGCTGTAAAAAAAATTCTGCAAGTGCTCAAAGGTCACTGTAACTGTATTAACTTCAGGGACTTCATTAAAAGATTCATTTTTTTAATTATGAAGAACAGTATGGGTGAAAAAGTCCATTTTATGGAAACCACACCTTAATAACAGAAAATTACATTTGATTAATACTCCTATTTCTCAGAGGTGCTTAATACAGCATACAAATGCAAAGATTGATTAAGTAAAAAAAAATCTCAGAATTACTAAGACTGCTGTAGCCTTGAAAATGTTTTAGCACAGCACAGTCTCTACAGGGTAGTGATGAGAGAAAGCTTCATAATTAATGACTGAAGTGCTGAAGGGTTATAAGGAGCAGCTGATCCGCTCACTGGCAGAAGAGCTGTCATGTCTTACAGCAGTCTTGGTGACATGGATGTGATAATTCTGACCTGAGTTTCTCCATCCACACAACCCAGCTTAGAGTCATTTATTTCGCAGTATTTGCCTGCCTGGAAAGGCTGAAATCTCCATTCTGGCAGATGCCAAGGCCACAGCTGGGTGAAGCCTGGCACTGCCCACCAGGAGCAGAGCAGTACCTGATCCCCCCACGTGCAGAGAAGGGCTTGCAATGCTATCGGAGTTTTATTGCCAGCTCCAAAGTGTTGATGAACTACCTCCTAAAGTGGTAAGAACAATGTCCTGGTTGCACCCTAGGGAAATGGGAATTATTTTCGTGGTGGCCTTAGCTGCACTGTCTGTGCACTGCTAAGCTGTAACTCTTCTCAAGTGTGCTTCAGCAGCTGAAATAATTGAGATTGTAAAAGCAAAGACATTTCTAGTCACCACGGCACTGCTTGTGAAAACAGTGGTGCTTTCATTCTCACTGCTTAATTGGAGTTGTCTTTCATGCTGCTGGACTGGAGGAGGTGTCAGCATTTCCAGTATAAACTACCAGAAATAGAGGGTAAAAGCGATCAGGTATAGTGTAGTCAGGAGTTGTCAGAGCACAGGCATTTTTCAAGCCTTTTTCAAACAACCAGAAGTATATTTGATCTAGGAAATTCATAAGCCACATTCAGAAGTGCTGGAGAACTTGTGTTGCCTTGCTTGTAACCTGTGGTGCATCAGTCACTGTCACTGCAATGACAGGCATATGTTCCAAAAGGAAATTAGGGGAAATTCAGGTAAGATATTAGGAAAAAGTTTTTTCCTATGAGGGTGATGAGACACTGGCACAGGTTGCCCAGGGAGGCTGTGACTGCCCCAACCCTGGCAGTGTTCACAGCCAGGTTGGATGAGCCTTGAGCAACCTGCTCTGGTGGGAGGTGTCCCTGCCCAGGGCAGGGGTTGGGGCTGGATCATCTCTGAGCTCCATTCCAGCCCCTAAAATTCTACAATTCTATGAAAACAAACTTTTTCATTTCCTTACTGAAGAGAGAACTTCTTTTTAAAGCAAACAACTAGCTGAATTATTTACCTGTTATACATCAAAACAATGTCAGACAAATGTTGCTTGAGATGCAGAGGCAGGAACTTAAATTTCAAAATTAGCATTGCCTGTAGAACCTGAGGTTTTCATCCCTTTAGTGCATCTTCATGCCAAGGCTGCTGGGCTGGCCAGGAGGGATGGGACCTCTGAAAATGTATGAGAAGGCGCTGCAGAAAAAGGTCAGATACAACTTTCTGTATCTGACTTTATCATTGCTGTTTACATTTTAGTACTTCTGAGTTGGCCTTCAATTCTCCCACATTCCTTCCTCTTTATTTTAAACTGATGCTTCCCCATCCCCAAAAGCCACACAAAGCTTTTAAGGTTGAAGTGAAAAAGGTTCTGAATGCAATCCCATGTTC